ATTAATAGTAATTGTGTCAAAAATAGCTGTATGTTTTAAATTACTTTTTAAAATTTAAGGCTAAAACCAACTTAGAAGTAGAAATTTTTTAAGAAAGTAAAATTTGAATAGGGTTGCAAATATGTTTACTCATTTATAATATTAATTCCTATTTTTATTGTTTGTGAAATGCATGTCAATAACTTTATTTTTATGAAGTTTTTTTTTCTTTTTGTAGTTTTAGAAATAAATTCTTACAATTGATAAAAAAAAAGGAGTGTTGTATGTTTTCCTCAATGCCAACCACCAGGGCCTGCGGGGACAGAGGCAAGGCTGGGGATGTCCTGCAGGCCACCTGAACCTCACTGCCCCAGGGCAGCACACAGATAAGACTCCCATCCCCTCTTGCCTTATTTCTGCCTTCACACTTCCCTTTCTGTCAGCCTGAAATGGTGAGGGCAGGGCTCTGCCCATGCTGTTTCCTCCGCTGGGGAACACCTTTTCCTGCTTTGTTGCCAGGCTATTCTTACTAAGCCTTCCAGGCATTGCCACCTTCTTGACTTGCACCAAGCAGTCCTGGTTCCCCTGACCACCCCACCTCCTTGATTCTGTCCCCACCCCAGCTCAGCCCAAGCACAGTGTATGATCCATAGATGTTTGCTGGATGGATCCTGATAATTCCTCTGACACCTGAGGCCGCCTGCTTGACCCCCAAGAGACAGGGAGAAGGACAAAGTATAGTGTCTCTTCCATTCACCCCTCTGCCCCCCAGAACCCCCCAGGTGGAATGGGTCTTTGATGGCAGGGGTGGCCGTGAACAAGCAGACAAGACTGGGGCACCCTTCCACGTCAGCCTTCCTCAGCAGCCTCACTCCTGCCTGTCCCTCAAGGACCATCTGGGAAAACTTTCCTGTCAATAAAAACACCCTCACTACCACTTAAACAAAACTTGGAAACAGAGACCCAGAATTAAAACGCTTTTAATAACACACACACACACACACACACACACACACCTCAAACAACTGAATGTTGCCTGTAATCTGCAAAGTCTGGCTGGGCAGTTGTGCTGTGGTCAATGCCTTGCTGAGGCTGAGTGTACAGCAATCATTCCCTTGATGAGACTGGAAGGGGCGTTCCCTTGGGGGGGCATCACTGACATTGTGTGTATATAAGGAAGTCTCATGGAGCTCCCAGTTGGCCTAGTGATAAGAAGTTGTACTGTAATCTCAAAGGCAAGCTGTTCAAATCCACCAGCTGCACTATGAGAGCAGAATGGGAAGACTCCTCCCGAGCGATTCCTACTGGACAGCACACAACAACAAGTGGAGCTAGTTTCTTTCTTTCTTTTTTTAAACTTTGTCTCCATCCAGTATCTGGCTTCTAATCTTTTTGGTTCCTTCGACCATGTCTGCCTTATCTGCTGACATTGCATTTGTCAACCTCTGCTGCTACGTGCTACAGTTCTGGGACTCGCCAGCCTTTCCAACTGCAATGAGTCATGTCTTTTACATTGTTGTTGTTAGGTGCTGTCAAGTCAACTATGACTCATAGTGGCTTTACGAACAACAGATCTGGACCAGACAGGCTGGTGCCCCGTCCTGCTCCAGTCTCACAATCTCTGGCATGCTTGGGCCCACTGTGGTCGTCACAGCACCAATCCATCTCACTGAGGGCCTTCCTCTCTGTCTGACCCTCCACCTTTCCTAGCATGATGTCTCTAAGGACTTGTTGGTTCCTTTTGAAAATATACCCAATTATTTATATATGTTGTTGTTGCTGTCGAGTCGCCTGCAGTTCATAGCGACACTATGTACAACAGCCCTAAACCCTGCTCTGTCCTGTACAAATCTCACTATCTCTGACACACTTATCCCCATTATCCCAGTCACTGAATCAATCCACCTCTCACTTGAGAGGGTCTTCCTTTCCTGAACTGTCCCTCCACCCTCCCAAGCATGACATCCTTCTCCAAGGACTGGTCCCTCCTTGCAACATGCCCAAAGTATTAATATATATACGTATTTTTTAAAGTTCCATCTCATTGCTGTTAAGGCATTTAGCTGGCACGTAGCTGGCTCTTCAGTGAGTTTTTGAAAGCTGTAAATCCCAAGGAAGGAGAGATTGCCCATCTTTCTCCTGCTAGTGGATCTGAACTATCAGAGAGGCACTACTTTTGGGTTAGTGATGCAACTTCCTACAGACTACTCCTGGGTTTACTTCTTTAGAGAATCCAGGCTAAAACACACCACACGGCTCTCAGGCCAAAGTGTAAACCTCTTTGAAGACCCCTACAGAGAAAGTTCTAGCTCAAAAGCCAGAAATGGATCCCAAATCTTTATTTGACCTGCGAGTCCCACCCTCTTTTTTGCATAAATTGTCACCTGGTTGGAAGTGCTCTGTGGAACCTCAGATAGTCATCTCAAAGTCAGGGAGGCGCGTGGGTGTGGTCAGGCAGGAGGCCCCCAAGTCTTCTCCCTCCTGCTTCCTCTGGGGCTCCCCATCCTCCTCTTCCTCACCACTCTCCTCCTCATCTTCCATGATGGCATCCAGCTCCTCCCGAAGCACGCTCATCTCCAGAGCCAGACTGCACAGCTGGCCCAGCAGCTGGACATCCGCTCGGCGGAGGTTTCCCTGCCAATGAGAAAGGGGAGCTATAGACATTCCACAGCAGTTGGCAAGAGTATGCTGACTGGGACGGTGGGAAGCAGTGCACTCCAAGTCCTCCAGGGAGGGTCCTCTCTGTGTGCCTCTGGACCTCAGACAGTGATTTACCAACATGCTGTCTGCTGTATGATTGATGTAACTTCAGTCTCCCCATTTCAGTGTCCCTCGCTGCTGTCTCCACTTCACTCTCCCTCTCTTGATCTCTTTGCCTCTTTTTAAAATCTCCCTTTCTTGTTATGTATCTCTGTCTCCCTCACCTTCTCGGTCTCTGGCTCTATGTCTTTCCAAGCCTCGTTTGTCTCTCTGTCTCCTTGTCTCTCTACCTGGATTCATTCTGTTCTTTTTCTTGTCAGGTGCCTTTGATTTGATTCTGACTCATAATGACTGTACAACAGCATGAACCCTGCACCGTTCTCATAATCTCTGCTGCATTTGAGTCAATTATTGCTGTTCTTGTATCAATCCATTTAGCTGCAAGTCTTCCTCCTTTTTGCTGTTTACTTTAACAAGCATGTTGGCTTTCTCCAAGAGCCAACCTCTCTCTCCTGACAACATACCCAAAGTGTGTGAGATGAAGTCTTACCATGGTCGCTTCAAAGGAACATTCTGGCTGCATTTCTTCCAGGGCACATTTGTTCTTTTGGCGACCCATGGGATAGTCAATATTCTTTGACAACAAGACAACTTAAAGACATGATTCTCTCACTTCTTGGTCTTCTGTATTCATTGTCCTGTCTCTTGATCTCTCTGCCTCTATTACTGCTCTCAATCTCCATTTCTCTCTTTCTCTCCATTTCTGTCTTTCTTGGGCTGCTAATGTAAAGAGTAGTTCCAACTCACCAGGTGCTCTGAAGAAGAAAGATGAGGCAGTGAGCTTCCATAAGGATTTACAGCCTCAGAAACCCTACAGAGTCCGAGTTGAAATTGACTCAGTGACCGTGAGAACTGAATTCTTGGTCTTCTGTCTCTCTCTATCCCTGTCTCTCCAACCTTAGGTCTTTTGTTTTCTGTCTCCAGTTCCCTCTCTTTTCCTCCATTCAAGAACTGTTCTCAGTTCTTGATTCTCAGTTCTTTACTTTTGATCTGTCTGTTTCTCTGCATATCTCACCCTTCCCCTAATAATCTGGCCCTCCACCCCAGGCCCTGCACTCACCAGCTCTTCCCAGATCCACAGCAGTCTCTCTCTGATACCTTCAGTATCCATCTCTGGGGAGAAGAAGATCTGGCCAGGTATCCCTTCTGGAGGCACCCCTGTCAAAGCCCTCGGGGGTGGGCCCAACCCCAGGGGCACCAGCCCTGCCTGTTTCAGCTGCTTCCACTGCTCCATCTCCTCTGAGCTGTGGCCCTGGCTCCCAGGGCGCAGGAAGTAGCAAGGTCCAGAGTAACCTGGCCCCCAGTGGAGTGAAGTGCAACCAGGCGTGGCTGGGGCGGGGGTGCTGGCAGAGACGTCCCAAAGTTCATTCACCTGGGAAATTCAGCCAACCTCCTGAGTTTTTATTCCCTCTGAAGACTTAGGTCAAACTTCATCTCTCCCTTCTCCTTCCCAGTGCCCAGGCTTGATTGTTCCTCAGTACCCCAAATCCAGTACCTTAGAGTCTATGTTACATCATAGCAATGCCCAATTGGGTGTCCCTAGCTATAAATCTTTCGTGGAGCAGACAGCCCAGGTTTCTCCTATAAATCAGCTGGTGGAGTCAAACTTCTGACCTTTTGGTTGGCAGCCCATCATGGAATGCACTTTGCCATCAGAAAGAGCTCCTCTATGGGTGCCCAGTGCCTGGTAATGTCTGACTTCCTGTGCTTTCCTGGGTCCCTCCCACCTTTCCTAGGAGATGCTGAAAGGGTCCTCAGAGCAATATCTAAACTAGCAGATTGAAAATACATGTCTTTAAGAAACCCAAACCAATTGCCTTTTAACAGAGTCCAATTCATGTTGACTCATTTGTCTCAGCAGAACTGTGCTCCATATAATTTTCAATGGATAATTTTTCAGAGATGTATCACCAAGTCTTTCTTCCGAGGGCTTTCTTGTCATAACGCCATCTCAGAGCCTAGCTGACACTCCAGTGAGGTTTGGGAGGCTGTAAATGGCACAGGAGAATAAAAAAAAAAGGCACGGGAGATTGTCCATCTTTCTCCAGCAGAATCTCTGGCGGATCTGAAAGCCCAGGAAGGCACCAATTAGATTAGAAGCGCAACTCCCTACGTGTTATGCTACTAGAGCCATCGAAGGGGTTTTTTTGTGTTTTTATTTCTTAAATTTTATATTGGCATGCTTACAAAGATTTTATACATTGTGTTTCACACTATCCTTCATTAACACTGTACTTCATACAATCATTTTGATTAGTTATATTTTATAAGATTGATCAACACTGAACTATTCCCAACATTGCCCTGTGTTTCCAGATCCCTGCTGGATATTTCCCATTTCCCTTACCGATCCCTCCCTCCATCCATCAAATTGTGCAACCCTATGATTTACCTATCCCCTGCCCATCCTCATTCCTCTGCTCCTATCCTCTCCCCTTGGATCCTCAGACATGTTTTACTAGTTATCCTTCTATTTCTACAGTAACACTCTCTTAACAGTATTTGTCCTTATGGGACTGAGTTAGTTCACTCAGCATAATGTGCTCCAGTCCTTCCCAAGTTAAATAGTAATTTTCAAAATTATTGCTCCTAAGTACTGCTTAGTATTCGATTGTGTGAATGTTCCACAATTTCTCAATCCTTTCAGTCATGGTTGGACATTTGGGCTGGTTCCATGTTCTTGCGATGGTGCATAATGCTGCTATGAACATTGGTGTACAAATCTCTGTTTGTGTCTCAGTCCTAATTTTCTTAGGGTGTATTCTAAGCAGAGTAATAGCTGGGTCATATGAAATTTTTATGTTCATCTTTTTGAGAAAATGCCAAACTGCAGCAGTTTATGAGAGTGTTAATCTCTTCACATCCTCTCCAACATTTATTACTTGCTGTCCTGTTAAGCTTTGCCACTGCTACTGGGGGTGAGATAGTTTCTCATTGTGGTTTTGATTTGCATCTCTTATTGCTGTGATTTTGAGCATTTCCTCATGTTGGCCATCTGAATGTCTTCCTCAGTGAAAGTCTTTCCATGTCTTTTGCCCATTTTAAAATTGTGTTATCAGTCTTTTTCTTCTGGAGGCCTGTAGTATTCCATAAACTTTTGTTTTAACACCCTTGTCTGAGATGGCATTGCCAAATATTTTTTCCCAGTCAGTAGGTTTTCTTTTCACTCTGTTGGGAAAAGTTTTAGATGAACAAAGGGATTTAATCTTTAGAAAGTCCCATTCAGGTGAGCTCTGGTGGCCTAGTGGCAAGAGGCTGCACTGCAATCCCAGAGGTATGCGGTTCAAATCCACCAGATGCTCCGCCGAAGAAGGAGGAACAATAGCCTCCTATACCTGTCAGATCCGATTTGACGGTACACACATAAAAAAAAAAGAAAGAAAGTCCCATTCATTAATTTTATCCTCTCCTGGTTGTGTATTTCTGGGTAGGTTTGTCAGCCTTTTTTTTTAAAAAAAAAATTAATTTTTATTAGTTTTAATGAACATTTACAGGGATTTTGGGTTTTCATTCCTTCATTGCTGCACCATTCTCTCTACCTTCCTCCCCAGTTTGTTCTTCTTCCTCCGCCATCCGAATGTCTGTTTTAATTGTCCAATTGCCACAGTGCTTGTCAAAGTCAGTTCTGATTAATCTCCTTTGTCAGTGTGTCCTTTGCCATTCCCTATCACTCCTCCCTGAGAGAGACTTCACCCTGATTCATAAGGAAAAGGGAATGGCATATTCTCTTAGCTACTTCCGGCTGAAAAGGGAAGCTGTGGGTTTCAGGGTGAAGATCTTCTCTCACTACGCTAAAGGGCCCCTTTGGCAGTAGGAAACAACATAGACTATTATGGAGACTGATTTTGGAATTTAGATGCACTGTTATTAATTGTGCTTAGCCGTACATGTTCATATCCTTGAAGATGTATCATGGGGGTGTTGCAACCTAGAAGACACAAATTTAACTAACAAGTTATAAGTACATGAGTCAAAAATTATGGACAAGTAAAAGAAAAGATTCTTTCATTGTTTTACAAACCCTCCCCCAGGTTCCCTCCACCATGTAGCCCTTGCTCTAGACTCCTGTGATGACAGAAATACCTAGTCACATATCTCTTTTAAACAGTTTTCTCCCTCCTCTGTTTCAGTGCAGTATACATTATTGAACCCATCTTACTCAGTCTCTCCCCGACCGCGAGGTTAGTCCCATTCTACAACAGTGGCATCATGTAATATTTGTCCTTTTGTGACTGGGATATTTCACTCAGCATAATGTTCTCCAGAGTCAACCATTTTTAATAATATTGCATGAGTTCCTTGCTTTTCAATGCGGCATAGTATTCCATTGTGCGAATATACCACAGCTTCTCTAGCCATTCGTTTGTTGATGGGCACTTAGGTTGTTTCCAACTCCTTGCTATTGTGAACAAAGCTGCAATAAACATGGGTGTGCATATATCTGCTTGGATGTCAGCTATGGTCTCTTCAGGGTATATTCCCAGTAGTGGAATTGCTGGGTCAAATGGTATCTCTATTTGCAACTTTTTGAGAAAGCGCCATACTGTTTTCCACAGGGGTTGCACCATTTTACACTCCCACCAACAGTGAATCAGGGTTCCAGTTTCTCCACAACCTCGCCAGCATTTGTTGCTTGCTGTTCTGTTAAATTTTGCTATTTTGACTGGGGTGAGATGATATCTCATAGTTGTTTTAATTTGCATCTCTCTTAGGGCTAGGGATTTTGAGCATTTCTTCATGTGCTTGTTACCCATCGGGATGTCGTCTTTGGTGAAGTGTCTGTTCATATCCTGTGCCCATTTTTCTATTGGATTATTTACCCCTTTATCTTGTTGTGGTGCATCAAAGAGGTTCTAATGGGACTAAAGCTCCAATCTTCGCTTTTCGTTATCCAGAACTCTGCGCCTTTAAGAGGACTGGAAACTAAGAGGCGTGGCCATAACAGAAGAGACCTATTATTGAAAGAGACGGGCGGAATAGGCCCGCGAGGCCCGCCCCTTCCGGTTACGTAATCGTAGCAAAATGGCTGCGCCCAAAGTGGTAGGTACCCTGAGCCCAAATGCCCCCAAAACTGACCACCTCATTGTCTCCTCCGCCTTCAGAACCTCTGTCAGCACCCAGGGTGCACAGAGCCTCGAGGAAGCGGGAGTGTTGTGCAAGGACTCGCGCTGGGGTCTACTTAGCAGGGAATGACCGGGACATGACCAGTATGGGACCTTCGGTGATTGAGAGAGGGCGGGACTTGGCAGAGAGAAACGTAAGATCAAGAAAGTGATTAAAACAAAGAGGAAATGTAGAGTTGACGAAGGGATGGAACTGAGGGAAATTGTGGCTATCCCAAAAGCAGAACCAGCAAGTTTTCAAAGGAAAACTTAGCACGAGCCAAAGAGCAAGGGATTCATGGGAGTAAGAACTAAAGGGGTGAGAATTTGGGGTCTCTCACAGGGACCTCCAGGCTGAGTCCCTTCTCTCTCCTTCCTCAGCCCCTGTGCCTGGTGGTCCCAGTATGGAACAGGGGCACCAGAAGTGCCCGGGGCCTGAGCAGGATGGTAGCCCCCGGGGGCAGTCAGGGGAAGAGAAGGACACTGCTCCAGTTCCTGGCTGACCGCTTCTACGAGGTGCGTGCTCTAAGGGAGTTCTTGCAGCAAATGCAGCTGTTGAAGGTGCAGCGGGAAAATCGGTGAGAACCTCTGACCCCGTGACCTTGTGTCTTAGGGGGTCTCTTGGCGAACATTCATTTCTGCCCACCACCCTTCAGAGACTCCATATTGCCAGCCCGCCATCCTGTTGGGGTCTACCACTAGATCCTTGATTCTTCCCCTAAGAATCTGCTCAACCCCCAAACCTTCTGCACCCATCTCTATAAACATCCCCACGGCCCATGCAGTTTTTTGGGCCAAATCCTGAGGCGTTTCCTCTGATTCCTCTCTGCCCTCTATATCCAGCCCATCAATAAAATGCCAGAACCCTGTACAGCTGACCAGCCCCCACCCCTTCCTCCACTTTTTTGCCATTTACTGTGACCATCTTCAGTTGGATTAGTGCAGTAGACTGGCCTTTGGCTCCTGTAGTCCAGAAAACAGTCAAAGGACTCTTGTTGTTTATAAACTTTTTTACTGTGATTTTAACAAAAGTTTACATAAAGGTTGGACGTTATTATTAGTCAAAGAACTTTTTTCTTTTTTTATTGGTTTGCACACAATAATTCATATACATTGCTTCAATCACCTACATTTGTGTTTTATAGTCTTTGATTTACCTTGTGTTCCATTCATACACATTGTATTACATAGAATTAATTACTACTGGTTTATGCCTTTTAAAAAATACAGATTTGTATTTTATTCTAGTTTACTTAGAAAGTTTGTATCGTTTGTCACACCAGATCTTTCCCATTTCCTTTACTCACTCCTACTTCCACCTATCAAATTGTACAACCCTATGATTAACCCCCACACACACACCCTGTAGTCAAAGGACTACAGAGCTGAAGACGTTACTATCATCCTTAAAACCTTCAAACAGTTTCTGATTGAACTAAAATGGGACCCAACTCCAGTGCCTAAAAGGCCTGGCCCAAAAAGACTCACTTTGTAACCCTGCACTACCAGGGAACCCCTGAGCCCCTATCACATCTCATCTGCCTACCACCAACAGCTGACAGGGCCTTCACCTTGGCATTCTTCCTCACTGCTCATCTGTCAGTGTGTCACACCATGATGACTTGAGTGTTGCTGTGATGCTGGAAGCAGGGTCACTCACAGTGGACAGATTTCAGCAGAGCTGCCAGATTAGGACAGACGAAGAAGCGGGACTGGCCACCCCCTTCTGAAATAACAGACCCTAGAAAGCTAGGAGTTTTGTCAAGAGGGGATGATCCTTGGAAAAAGGCATTATGCAGGGAAAGGTGGAGGGTCAAAGAAAGAGAGGAAGACCCTCAGCAAGATGTATTGACACAGTGACTGTAATAATGGGCTCGAACATATCAAAGATGGTGAGGCTGATGCAGGTAGGGCAGAGTTCAGATCTGTGATTTATAGGGTCACTGTGAGTCATCGTTTATTTGATGGCACCTAATAATAACAGCAACAGGAGACCAGAAGATGAGCCTTGAGAGTTGGAAGGCTCTGTTGACCCTAGTGACTAGAACCATAGGCTTCGAATTTCCAAGGGGGCACAGGATTGGGCAAAGAAAGTTTCCTTTGATCTGTTGTACGTAGAGTTACTATGAGTCAGAGGCAACTCGTCACCTATACCACCACATTTCAGATCTCTGCTCAAATGTCACCTCCAGGAAGGATTTTTAAACTGTGATTAAAATACAGGCAAGGCACCCTGGTAGTGCAGTGGATAACGTGTCAGGCTTCTATCCACAGGGCCAGCAGCTGGAATCTAGTGATGGGTCCATGGGAGAAAGATGGCCAATCTCCTCCCATAAAGACTGGCAGCTCCTGTCGGAGGGCACTATGAGTCAGGACAGACTTGAGAGCAGGCTGGGTTTAAATCAAGCAGCCGTAGAGCATCTGCCATTTCAAGAAGCATCTCTTGACACCCTCAGTGTCTAACAGCTTCCTTCATCATCGCTGCCCACTGAGGACACTCTTGGCCATTCTGTTTAACTTCTGGGTGGAACCGACACCGCAATCTGCCGTTTGCTGCTTCACTACCTACCTTCCTCTAAAATGTCTACTTGGCACTGCCGTTTCCCCCTTGCCCAGCATAAATACTGATAGCCTGATACAGGGTGACTGTCAGCATATCCCACCTGAGGCGCTGGACTCTGACCCCCTCAGTTGAGGCTTGGGGACAGGTGCGCTGTTCCCAGGTCTCACCCTTACCTGTGATTTTTTTTCCTTCTCTGCAGATCTCTCACCCACCTGCACAAACAGTACAGCCCAGACATCATAGGTGCCTTTTTCATCCTGAAGCAGGGAGGCGCAGTCAGGTAGGTCGGCACACATGATGGAATGGTGGTGGGGTCTGTGGCAGAGGGTCTGGGTTCTGCTGTCATGCAGACTCCTCAACAGCCCCTGGGCTCTGCTGCCAAATGGCTTGTGTGGCTTGTTCCTGAGCCTCAGTTTTGTCATCTGTAAAGCAGCCTAGTCAAGTGGCCTGTCAAGTTTGCAGAAGCAACTAAATGAGATTTCACAAACTAAATGCTTGTAATAAGGCCTGACATAGGATATGTGCTTACTGTTTTTCTTTTCTCTCTTCCTTTATTCTCTTATTCCTCTCTTCATTTTTTCCTTTTTTCTTTATTGAAAAACATAATTCACATAGACCTCACCTATCCCCCTCTTTGTTCTGGTGAAAATTCTCATTTGGTTTGAGTACATCCTTGGAAGTGGGACCCACCTCTGAGCGTGTGTCTTAGCTTCTGCCAATTGAGAAGGGCCTCTTCTGTTCCAGCTCTTTTCTCTCGCAATCTCTGGGATCTCTGGTCCTCTGGACACTTTTCAGGGCACTCTGGACACTGTTACAGGGCTCCAGTAAGACCTCACACGTGAAGACTTGAACAGGGCGCCAGTACTTAGGAGGAGCCCCAGCTGAGAACAGCGAGTGTATGATATAGGAGGTTCGGCCATGCGGAGGGCCTGTGCGCCTCTCCAGCCCCATTCCCTCTTCTCCAGGTTTCGGGGCCATGACTGGATCAGGTCAGATTCCCGTGGCAGAGTCTCTCTTGATGTCCTGAAGTTCCAGGCGGTGCCTGTAGAGGGCGTGGATGCCAGTGGCTGCCCCCTCAACTACAACGGCCTGGACAACATCTGTGAGTGTCCGGCTGTGGGATGGCATGGAGCCAGGAGTTGGGGAAGGCCTCCCTCCTGTGGGGGACTCCCAGAGGCACTTCAGTGCCATTCCTCTACCCGCCGCAGTGCCCCTGAAGGAGCTGCAGGAGCTCTCGCTGCAGTGCTGCCCCAACGTGGACGACTGGTGTCTCAGCCGCCTCTACCCACTGGCTGGCTCATTGCAGGTGCTCTCGTTGGCCGGCTGCCCCCAAATCTCTGAACGGGGTCTTGCCTGCCTCCACCACCTTCAGTAAGTTCCTTGCATCGCCTCATCACACGCCCCCAGGCTGGACCTCTGCCGAGGTCTCTTGCCCAGCAGTCCACATGCAGGAGAGGCGGTGGTTCCCTGCCCCCAGTCAAGCGTCAGGCATTCCTGAAAGGGATCCCAGTGTTTCTTGTTCTTTTGTTTTCTGGTGGCCTAGTGGTACAGGAGAGGAGCTGCTGTTCACAGGGTTGTTATGAGTGATACTAAACTCCACAGCACCTAACAAGTGGTAAGGAGCTGCACTGCCACCCAGAGGCATACAGCTCGAGTCCACCTGCTGCTCTGCAGGAGAGAGATGAGCAGTCTCCTCCCACGTGACTTACAAGCTCTGAAAACCTGTTGGAGAGTGGTAGTGACTCAGTTGTTGGTGGCACACTATTGTAATGAAAACATCCACTGCTGTAAACAGCAGGGCACAGACCTGCCTACCTTTAATTACACAGTGGGTTACATGCACTTTGGGCAGCAGTTTGGTGAATTTTTTTAAACTGTAGTAAAAACGTAACATTTGCCAATTCAATAGTTTGTGCAATTCAGTGACACTGATTGCATTCTTTGTGTTGTAGGACCGTTATCATTATCTAAATTACTCCACGACTATTAAAGCTCTGGTAGCCTAGTGGTAAGGGCCTGTACTGCAATCCCAAAGGCACACAGTTCAAATCCACCTGCTGGCCCGTGGGAGAAAGATGTGCACTCTCTTCCCATGCGATTAACTGCCTCTGAAAACCCGCTGCAGGGTCAGCTATGGGTCAGTTCCGACTTGACGGTACACAGCAACAGTAACACGGTGACCTAGTGGTAAGAAGCCACACTGCCAACCCAAAAGCAGGTGGTACAAATATCTTTTCATGCAGTTTACAGCCTCTCAAGATCTAAAGGATCAACTCTGAGGCGGGTCTCACTCCACAGCACATAACAACAATAGCATTAACATAAACACAGTGTTCTTGACGTCCTCCCACAGCTGGTGACCACACTGCGTGCTGACGTCTATCCGCTGGGCAGGCACCATCTGTCCTTCTGTAATTGACTCATTTCACTCAGCATAATGCTTCATGGGTGTTGTGAAAGGCATCACAACCTCATTTTACACACACACACACACACACATTCTCTTCAATCTGGCCTCATGCTCGGCTCCCCTCCTCCCAGGAACCTCCACAGGCTGGACATCTCCAACCTCCCCGCTGTTTCCAACCCTGGCCTCACTCAGATCTTGGTGGAGGAGATGTTGCCCCACTGTGAGGTCCTGGGTGTCAACTGGACCCAGGACCTGAAGCTGTCACCAGAGCAGCAGCCTCAGGACACAGCCGGCCAGGCCACGGCCTAGCTTCCAGCCCCTCCCCACACAAGCTGGGCCTGGGCAGGCGTGTGGAATGACCAGCCTGGTTGCCATGCTTCTGCCGTTTGGCTAATGGCTCAGGCCATTCAGTGCAGGGGATGGGGAACGATGGGGTGTGGCCCATCCTGAGTCTGCCTGAGGAAAGGAGAGCATGGATTGGGGGGGTAATTTATTTCCTGCTTTGGGGCTGCACCCTTATCTTTGAGTTAGAAGCACAATCCCAGTCTATGCTACCTGAGCTCACTGGCATGATGTTAAACTGTCAGTAGAGGGCGCCCATGAGACAGAGGGAAGGCCACTTCCTCTGGCCCAGCTCCTGTGACTTCTGCACCTGTAGTGCCAGCGACACACAGTGGTTTCATGCCTCAGGTAGGGTGCCTGCCTCCCTAAGAACACCTCACACGCACCAGAGAGTGGACTTCCAGTAAATTCTGAGGTACCTTTACTAGCCAGTCCCTTGCTATTCCTGTCCTCCATTATCTTTATTAATTTATATTAAACTCTCCCTGTTCAAATTTCTGTGTTGTTTTTCTCCCCTCTGATTGGATCCCAACTGATACAAAATCGGTCGCAGCAGACAGACTCACAGAGCTGGGATTTGGGGATTGGTCTGGTTCTGCCTTTGGGCTTGCGCAGTGGTGCTAAGCACCTTTCTTGTCAGTGGAGCATGAGAAGCCAGGAAATCCATGGCATGCCAGCCTCACAGGTGATCAAGCTTTCACCTAGCATTGGTTAGAAGGTTCCAGCTGAGGCACAAGCCCCAAGAGCCCCAGGGATCCTAAAGATAGGGTGTGGAGTGAAGAGAAAGGCTGTAGGCAATAAGGAGATGAGCAACACGGTATCATTAAAGAAAGGGAAGAGACAGGCATGGGATTAACGGAAATCAGAATAACAGGGAGGAGGGGAAAGTGCAGTTACACTGTGGGGACTGAAATGAACAAAATGTTGAGTGAAAATGTAGGAAGGAATAGGATAGATTCTTTGAAGGGAGGTTCCTGAGCGCACAGGTCAGAGTTAGCAAGCTTCCCTCGCCACCCCAAAGCTCTTCTTTTCTGTAGCCACAGGAAGCTGATAATGCCAAAATCCTAGCACAACTTGATTTTGCAAGTTGCTGAATCATGATTGAATTAAGTCTGCACTGCAGCTCATGAAAGTCAATTTCCATGGGTAAAGAATGTGGTCCTGTAACCTGCATCCGGAACGCTGGGCTGGACCCACAGGACACCTGACACCTTGAACCATCCCAGGTTACAATCCCCTCCCACCAGTGCCTTAGATCACCTGCTTCCTGTGCTTGGTATCTTGAAAGGGGAAGTCTCCATAGGTGCCCCTACCAGGCTCACACAGTTGTTAAAGATTCATGCTGGCCCTCTGAACCTTGCTCTATCCGGCACCATCTCCATCTCGGGTATGTCCCGGCCCATTAATTTAGTCACTGTGTCAGTCTATCTTGATGGCCTTCCTCCACCTTTATCAGCATGAAGTCTTTTTCCAGTGACCACCCAAGTGGCTTTTCTTCCAAGACAGACTTTGTCTTTTGGAAGTCCATGGGACTCTTCTCCAACACCACAGCTCCAAGGCAGTGACAGATAAGACAGACTAAGAAGCAAAATTGGCCATCCACATCTGAATTAAAAAGGCTTTGAAAACTCTATGAATAACCGAGGCCTATGCTAAGTAGTTGGAAGGAGTAGTGGTATCCACTTCCTAAACAACATGCCTCTGGAAACGGTGCACTTTGAGAAACTGCGAGTTATAGAAAGGCTTCAGGTCTTTTGTTCATAGGGTTGTTATGAGTCGTGCTCGCCTGGACAGCAATCAACAATACTAATCAGTGTCAAGTCTTCACGGGGCCAGGTTACACCATGACAAGGAAGGAATCGCTTATACTCCAAAAGAACTGTAAGACTTGGCACCACATGACATCAGAAACCTGGAGGGCAGGTGTGGGAGTGGATTCTACCAGTTAGGTTAACGAGGGTGGAACCTAAGGAGAGACTGGGCCAATCCAGGGATGTGTGCACAGGGTAGAGACTGCAGATTTAATGGGTCAGCTTGTGCAGTTGGAAGCAGTTAACAGTTTATTTCATCCTGGTTAGACTGGAACTTGGACTTGGCAGTGGCCTATATATAGTAAATGAGGTTGAGAGACCAAAACTGCCCTGGCATAACGTGGATGGCTTAGGGGAGCAGGAATGTTGGGCTAGATTGTGTTCCACCCTCACCCCCCCTAATGTTCCATGAGAAAGCACCTCTTAGTAGCCAATTCCTTGGTTACAGTTAATAATTCTCCACTAGAGTTAATGATTCTGAAGGCCCCTGTTGAGATGGCCATGTGCCTTCTCTCCCCTGACCAGACTCAGAAATGCACACAGCAAAGGAGTTTCCAGATGTCTCTGGCAGAAGTGAATGAGCCAGAATGCCTGTGGTCCTCACACCTCAACCCATCTCCCAGCCCTGGGCTGAGGGGTGCTTGGGAACCCCTTCCAGAAGTGCCCCAGCCCTGCCCCCTACAGCTGGCTGGCACACTTCCCATCCTAGCTTTCTTCTCTGTTAAGACTTCCCACTCCCAACCTACTCTCTTCCTCAGGCCATTCCCAGGGACTCCATTATTCAAATCTGGGAGATGGAAGCCAGTGCTGGACAGTTCATTTGTTGCTGACACAGTGTTACTGAGATGGTACAGGCAAGCTCTCCCCAGGTCAGGCTTTGGGGGAGCCCCTACCCCCATCCCAGGTCCCCCTGGAGGTCTGAAGTGAGGAGGCCCCACCTACTTGCCTCCCCAGACAGCTGGTGCAGCCTCAACAGCAGAGGCCTCTGGGGGGCAGGGTAGTAAACACTGCCTAACACCCTCCCAGTCCCAGGGGGGCCAGATGTGAGTGTTCCTGGAGTCACAGTTGGGGGGTGTACCCTGGAGCCAGACCGGCTCCAGGGCAGGAGGTGGAGGCAGGGCAGAAGCAGGGGCGCTGACTTATGCTAGAGCCCAGGCCTCCCTGCACCCTCCCACTGTCATCTGTTCCTTCTCCCCTCAATCTGTTTCTTCTGGATCCTTCAGGGATCCCCTATCATCTCCCTTCTCCATCTCCTTGTATCGGACTCTCCTCTCTGCCTCAGTTTTCTACACCTGCCTCCCTAAATCAATCCTCCCTCTACTTCCCCCATAACGGGGGCTTCCTGGACACCCTTCCTTTCTCATTGCCTCCATTTCCTCCTGACCCTCCGGTCTGGCCATCTTCACATCCTCTCTCTCTTCTCTGAGCTCTCCAGTCCTTACCTCACCCCATCTTTCCTCCCTGCCCACCCAGGGTCTCCCCAGCTCTCTCTCCCAGACTGACCCCCTACACTGTCTCTCTCTCCAGCCCCACTCTGGGCAGGAACCAGATGTTCCCTATCTCTGGCCTGGCCCATCCATTCACACTCAGCACATTCACACCGCCTCCTTGCCTCGGCCGGGTGCCAGCCCCTCGGCCTCCCTCTCTGCCGGCTTGGGCCTTGGCCTCGCCCGGGGTCGTTCTGACACCACCCAGCCTGGCTCACCCCCAGCCCTCTCCTCCCCTTTCCAGGCCCGGAAGGGTCCACTGTGTCTCTGACTATTCCCTGCACCCCCCCTGCCAGGCTTACCAGATGAAAACCAGCCCCAACACGTCAGAGCCCCCACGCTCAGTTCTAGCTGCCCTCTCCCTCCCCGCCCTCCCCCTCCTTCAGCCCCGCCCTGGCCCCTCCCGGCCCCTGGGGCCCTCCCAGCCTCCACCCGCCCCTCCAGACTGCCTGGGCTGGGCTGGGCTGGTAGACAGACGGGGCTGACGGGCAGGAGGAAACCTGAGGGAGGGCCTGACCAAGGTCCTGAGGTCTCAGTGCCCGGAACTGGCAGAAGCGGGACCCAGAGGTAAAGTGGAAACAAGATCCCTGGCTCCCGGGTCCCTGGGGTGGAAGCTGCTGGAGGGAGGTGAAAGGAGCCAACCCTGTGTGCTGGGAGTCAAGTGCGAGGGATGAATGGGGATGGCAGTGGGGGTGGGGTCCCTAAGGCAGGGTCCTGGTGAAGGTTGACTCCCTGGGATTCTGGGAGGCAAATGGAGTTAAGACTCCAAGAGGACTGGATGGGACTGGAAGGGGCTTCCTAGGTCCCAGGATAGGATGCAGTCCAGTAGGGTGGGGCTGAGGCTCCTGTTTAGGGAGGGTCTGAGAGAAGCTGATATAGCAGTTGGCAGAGATTCTGGGGGGGACAGCAAGGCTGTCTGCCAGGGGGCTTAGTTGGGTCCCCCCTGGGACCTGTATACCGTAAAGGCCCATGTGGCTCCTTTTCAGCTCCCACGGTGGCCCCTTCCCTGGGCCGGGTCATGCGCTGCCCCAAGTGCCTTCTCTGCCTGTCTGCACTGCTCACACTCCTGGGCCTCAAGGTGTACATCGAGTGGGCATCGGAGCCTCGGCTTACCAAGGGCTACCCAGGAGCACGGAGCACCCCACCAGGCCCCACCCCCGCCAGCCTTGAGCCCACCCTGCCCGCCAACCTCTCGGCCCGCCTGGGCCAGACTGGACCACTGCCTTCTGCTTACTGGAACCAGCAGCAGCGGCGTCTGGGGACTCTGCCCATTGGGAACAGCACTGAGGCTGGGGGTTGCCAGGCTTGGGGGACTGCTGCTGCCACTGAGATCCCCGATTTTGCCTCCTACCCGGAGGACCTCCGCCGCTTCCTGCTGTCAGCAGCCTGCCGAAGCTTCCCACAATGGCTGCCTGCAGGTGGCGGTGGCCAAGTGGCCAGCTGCTCGGCTACCGATGTCCCTTACCTGCTGCTGGCCATCAAGTCGGAACCTGGACGCTTTGCTGAGCGACAGGCTGTGAGGGAGACGTGGGGCCATCCGGCTCCCGGAACTCGGCTGCTCTTCCTGCTGGGGTCCCCGGTGGGGCGGGGAGGACCCGACCTGGGTTCACTGGTGGCCTGGGAGAGCCGCCGTTACAGTGACCTGTTGCTCTGGGACTTCTTTGACGTCCCCTTCAACCAGACCCTCAAGGACCTGCTGCTGCTGGCCTGGCTCGGCCATCACTGCCCTGACGTGGCCTTTGTCCTGCATGCTCAGGACGATGCCTTTGTCCACGTCCCGGCTCTGCTGGCACACCTGCGGGGCCTGCCCCCAACCCGGGCGCGTGCCCTCTACCTGGGTGAGGTCTTCACACAGGCCAAGCCTCTACGGAAACCCGGAGGACCCTTCTATGTGCCTGGGTCTTTCTTTGAAGGTGACTACCCAGCCTATGCCAGCGGGGGTGGCTATGTCATTGCTGGACGCCTGGCACCCTGGCTGCTGCAGGCAGCGGCCCGTGTGGCCCCCTTCCCCTTTGACGACGTCTATACTGGCCTGTGCTTCCGTGCCTTGGGGCTGGTGCCCCGGGCCCACCCGGGCTTCCACACAGCTTGGCCAGCGGACCGCACCACAGACCCCTGCGCGCTCCACGACCTGCTGCTGGCTCGGCCCCTCAGCCCCCAGGACAGCATTCGGCTCTGGAAGCGTCTACAGGCCCCACGGAGCCAGTGCTGAGGATCCGGCCCAGTGTGGCTTCTCAGGGCATTGAGAGAAGGGAGGCCGTTTGGGACAAGAACTACTTGAGACACTCCTGGCTTGGGGGAGCAAGGACTTTTTCTTTCTTCCATTTTGTAAAAAAAAATCCACTCTCGACTCAGAGGCATGGAATTGACTGTGCTTCTTCTACAGGGCCCTGCGCTGAGCACAATTAGAGGAGCCAAGCTGCCCTCACACCAGACACCCTCCTGCCGCATGGGTGAGCGGGAGCCCAACTGGGAAGACCCCCCACCCTCGTCCCGCCTTCCAGCTTGGGAAGCTTCCAGGGGAAGCAGACCATATACTGCCCTGGCCGTTTTCATCTCAAGTGGAGAGGCCAGGTGCAGTCCCAGACAAATCGTCCCAGACTCTCCCCTACCACCCCAAAAACTCCAGGAGCCTAAGCAGAAATGGCACCGAGACTGGTGCAGGGAAAACTTTTATTCACCATCTCTGCTGACCACTTCTCTGAGAAAGTCCCACAGATTGACTTGCCAGGCCACACCCCTGCCTCCATTTCACCCACACCCAGGGGTGCTGTAGTCTCGCAGGGACTCCCCGACCCTGACAGGAGAAGGCACAGTAACAGTCAGTGAGGAGGACTGATGAGGGCTCAGCCTCTGCTGTGATCACTGCCCCCCAATGTAACAGCCCAGAAGAGCAGGGAGGGGCTTCCAGGTGGTGATGTAAACTTCCCCACATAACCCTGGCCCCTCCATTACCATGGAGAAAGCTGGCTGGGAGAAGGGGTGCGATGTCCTCCCAGCTCCCTACTCCTGGGCAGAGTGGGGCCACCCCTCAGGGTGGCTGAGGGTGGAGTGGGGAGGGCCAGGTCTCACTTCTCAAAGTGCTCCAGGGGGTAGTGCTCCCCGTAGGTCTGGAGGTGGCGGGCCAGGGACTCCTGCTGCTTGCGGAGTTGGGCGGGCATCTCCTGATACACGTCTGAGAAGAGCAGGCTAGGGTTTGGCTTCAGCTTCCGCTCAGCCTGCTCAAAGGCCTCCATCACCTGGGAGAGGGGGCACCAGACAGTGGACAGGCATCTGGCCTCCCAGCAGGGCCCAGGAAAGGGAGCCCTGCTTCCTATCTGTGTGTCCTCAGCAAGAGTCAAACCCTCTGAGGGTTTGTGCGCCCAGGTGGACTGCGGAGGTGACCACAGGAAAGATCAGGAGAACTCCCATTAACCAGGCCCAGCATATGGAGGACCTGGAAGGCCAACAGCCTGTGAGTGAGGACAGCAAGGCACAGAGAGGCAGGGGGACTGGTTGTAACAATGCAGTCGGAGCAGAGCTGGGACACAGCCATGCTGCCTGGCTCCAGGGCCAGCTCTGCACTGTAGACACTGGCCCTCTGGCTCCAACAGGGCCAGAGCTTGAGGGGACAGTACACCGACTCTGGGCTGGACACACTCTATGGCTGGTGCATTAAGTCATCCCACCCTTAAACAAGCTGAAGCATGGACTGCTGGTCTTCCTGGGGTCAGGAAGGAGATAGCCCTCCATCCCCTGGCCCAGCACCTCTGTTCTTCCTGAGGCCCCATTCACCCAGAGGTCAGTCAGCCCCTCACCTTCTTCCGAGACTGCTTCCTCCAGTCCTTCTCCTGTTCATCATCCCACCAGCCCCGGCTCAGCAGGTAGTGCCGCAGCCGTGAGATGGGGTGGTCCTGCTTGTCCCAGTAGTTGACCTCGTCCACTGAGCGGTAGGCCGAGCTGTCATCACTGGTGCTGTGGTGTCCTATCCTGCCCAGGGTCAGCAGAAAAGGGAGAAGAGGCAGTAGAATGAAGGAAGGCAAGGGCAGGAATATAATATGGGGCAACAGGGTCCTGCTTCAGGGGTGGGAATTGGGGGGGGGGGGCTGCCCGGTGGTGATGGGGGAGGCAGGTACCTGTAGGTCATGGCCTCGATGAGGAAGGGTTGGTTCTCGGCCACAGCCCGCCGCCGGGCCTCCTTTGTGGCATTGTACACGGCGAACACGTCATTGCCGTCCACGCGGATCGACATGATGCCATAGCCTGGGCCTCGGGCAGCTGTGGGGACAGGGAGGCAGGTCGGGTTGCAGGGCACCGACGGGGTAAATGAGCAGGGCCAGGTGTGGGAGGAGGAAGCAAAGGCAGGCAGAGTGAGGAGATAAAAGCCGGGAAGTCTGCTCGCTGTCTCCAGACACTACAGGAAGAGGACAGAGCAGGGAAGATGGGCAGAGACAGCGTGAGTGGTGGCAGGGACTCAGAGGGGGACCGTCGGGCGAGGAGCAGAAGGCCTGTACCGATGCCGTCCCCGCGGTACTGCTCGGAGGTCGGCGTGGAAATGGCATAGCCGTTGTTCCGGCAGAAGAAGATGATGGGGCACTCAAGTGTCGCGGCAAAGTTGAAGCCAGCGTGGGCATCCCCCTCACTGGCGGCTCCCTCACCAAAGTAACAGATGACAATCCTGTTGTCATTGGCCCGCTTGGCTGCGTAGGCAGCTCCTACTGCTGCAGGGAACGAAAGGGAAGTGAGTGGGAGTACACACATGTCTACACACAGTCCACTCACTCTCACCACAGCATACAAACTGTACACACACACTCATCACAAACATGATACACACACACACTACGCACTCACATACACACGATGCACCCAAACCTCAACACACACATAATCCACTCACATATACCCATACACTACTCACACACACACTGTGCACTCACACACCTCAACATATACATGTTGGCATGCACACTATACACTTACATACACTCACCTAAGCACACATACTATACGTTCACACTCACACACACTTCACACACATAATCCACTCACACACCTACACCTTCACATACACTGTGCACTCACACCTCAGCACATATCGTACATACACACTATACACACACAGGGACTCACACCCACACATACCTCAGCACACACACTACACTCACACATTATACACTCATACCCACTTCAGCATGCACGTTACATACTTACACACACACTAGACTCACCTCAGCACACGTACGACACCCTCACACACACTGTCTGTCCATCATACACCTTGGCGCACACACAGACACTATGTACATTCTCACACGTAGACCTTAGGACATACACAGCCACTACACACACGCACACACCTCAGCACATAAACACCTATACACACATTCTTGCACATACACATGCACTCAAGAGTATACACATCACAATCACATACACACTCAGCATGTGTGCACACACAACTTTCACAATGGATGTGACAGAATACACACACAGCAGACACTACACACTCTCATACACAGACACGTACACTCACATGCACACACCGTCACAATAAACATGCACACACATGCACATATAAACACAGATCTAGGGTTGCAGGACCCCAGGTGGCTATGGCCAATCCGAGGGGAAAGAGAAGTATAAGCTCCTGACCTCCCCTGGAAGCTGCGCAGCCCCAGCCGCACCCTGTCAGCTGATGACAGCGTCACCCTGCCAGCAGCTCAGGGGCAAACTGCCACCGGTGACTCCTGATGTCCCCACATTTCTTTGGCCAGTTCTATATGCTCTACATTGAAAATAAAGACTCCTTTTCATGACCACCTCCAGGCCACCTAGGTCAAGCCACCACCACCTCCTGCCTGTTACTAAGCCACTTCCCCACCATCCCTGGGTCCAGCCACCCCACTCACTTCCCCCTACTCCCCGAGCCTCTTCTCCAGCCAGCGGCCGAAGGAGGATCTTAAAATGGGAGCCAGGTCATTCCAAGGCTTCCACTCAAAGTCCCGCCAGGTTGAGAGGACCCTCCTATGCGTGCTCTGTACCTCCCCCACCTCAGACTTTATCCCCTCAGTCCCTCACAGCCGTCCCATCCGACTTGCCCTGCTCTTCAAACCCACCAGACATGCGGAGGTCTAAACCTGTGGCTCCCTCTCACCCACTCTGGTCTTTAAATGTCACGTTCTCAGGAACACCCTCCAGAATTAGAACAGGCCCCTCCACACTCCACTTCCACCTCTCTGCAAGTCTTGACCCTGACACACTCGGGCCTGTCTGCCTCTTTCCTGTCAATCTCCCCACCACGGTAGCTGCACCACATGGGCTGGGGTTCTGTCCACTTTTTTTGGGGGGGTATTGTCTCTTTTGTCCACTACACCCAGATGGGCACCCAGCAGAGTGGGGACTCCACGCATCTGCAGGGGGACTGAGCATGGGAGAGAGGGAGGTGAGCGGGCCCAGCGGTAGGGGAATCCTACCTACCTCAGCTCAAATGCAACCTCTTCCAAGCAAGCTTCCTGGCCCACCTCCCACCTGAGAGGGGCGAACTGCTCCTGACTCCTACACAGAGCAAGATGAGCCATGTGCCAGGCGCTGTGTCACGCCCCACGGAGACACACCAGGTGCCTCAGCTGCCCTGTAGCAAAGAGAGCCAAACTGACCCCTCGACCGGACGGCAGGCTGCCGAGGGCAGGGCAGGTCTGACCGCTGCTTTTCCACTTTGAGGGCAGGCCTGGAACTGGAAGGTCTACGTCCCAAACATTTCCCCTTGAACAGAGAAAGGCACCCAGAGTACTCTAAATGCTATGGCTTCAGGGACCCTCTAGTAAACCTTAGGGGTCCTTCAGTAAGCTTTGGGGGCTTCAGACTCAGAAAATGAAGGCAGGTGAGGGTCCGGGTCCAGGACGTGGGCTTTGGAGTCACAACATGATTTCAGTCCCCACGTGGCCTCACTAGTGAGCTGTCTTCCCTGACGTCAGTTTGACATCAGCTTTTCAATATGGAGTAAAGGCAGCTCTTGGGGAGGAGCCAGGAGGGAGCTGTGTCACTAGCCGAAGGCCATGCCTTTCTGGCAGTTCAAATCCACCAGCAGCTCTGTGGAACAATGAAGGACCATCTCCTCCTGCGCGATTTACAAACTCTGAAAACTCACTGGAGAGTCAGCTATGAGTTGGTTCTGACGTGACAGCAATGACTGAATGAGAATAATAATGGGGGGGGAAACAAAGTCATGCC